CCTACTGCTGTGTATTTGTGCGTCTCCATGGCCCTCATTTCTATTCACACTTTATTCCCTGAGCACAGCTACCCTGTACTTTTCAGGAACCACATTAAAAATAAGAAAGAAAACATTCAAAACAAAACATCTTACTACTATTCTTAAAAAAGGAATAATAATAATAGATTTTAAAAATAATCCATGTTCTATACTTATTGGAAAATTGTACTTGTGTCAGAGAAAGTAAAACTAGACTAAATAGGAACTGTGCTAATTTTTTAAAGACATAATGAATCCACCTAAAGAACTCACCAAGCAATATGGTACCTACCCCTTAACAGTTCTAAGGTACTCAGTCTTTGACCTCTTTCATATTTTTCCTAACAGCTTGGAGGGTGTTCAAAAGAACAGGTTTTTTTCATAGATATTCTGTTGTGGATTTAATTTTTAAAAGGGAGGGAAATCATTGTCTCAAGATTAAAAGTAAAGTTCAAATTGGCTAAGATCAATTGATGAGAAGAGTTACCAATTAAGATCATATAAAGTCAAAAACATAATCGCACTTAAGGGTAAGATGTGGAATTATGACAAACCAATAAATATATGAGAAAAATCCAAGAATCCTGTGGTCCAGGAAGCATTATGGTTAAAAGATTAACAAAATGTTAGGAAATATGAAGAGGATAAAACGCTTAATGGTTTTGCAGAGAACAATGACAAACCAATAAATATATGAGAAAAATCCAAGAATCCTGTGGTCCAGGAAGCATTATGGCTAAAAGATTAACAAAATGTTAGGAAATATGAAGAGGATAAAACGCTTAATGGTTTTGCAGAGAACATTTTTTTTTTATTGCCTTTGTACTTGATCACATTCACATGGGGAAACCAGACATCATCCAGTTTTGAGTGTCCATATAAATGGAGGATAAAAAAGGTTAGTACAAAAATAACGCAAGTGATGTCAGAAGAGGAAAAGAATGTACTCCACTACCTTTCAGCAAGTGCAAGTTAAGGGTTGCATAGCTGACCTACTAGGAAAGAAACATGATGACTATTAGCAGTGAGTAGAAATATTAAGAAATAAGATATGTTTCCATGAGAAAAATTTATCCTTATCACTTTGTCTCAAAATATGGATTCAACAGTAGATAATTTTATGTTTTCTTTGTGTAAGAAAGGTTTGACTGAATGAATATATGCATATATATGATTTATATATACAAATATATATGATAGCAGTTGGATAATAAACTTGTAAATTCTTGAACAGTGTATCAAAGAAGATCATTTCATTCTATTATTTCATTCTACCCTTAACGACTTATAATTCTAGAGCAATCAACCATTAGTATTAGACTGACAGAAGGAAGTAAGTGATATTTCCAAATCCTTAAAACCCAACACTAGGGGCCGGCCCGGTGGCGCACTGGATAGTGCGCTGCTTGGGAAGCGCGGCGGCGCTCCCGCCCGAGGGTTCGGATCCCACATACAGAGGGTTCGGATCCCACATACAGACCGGTTCCCGCTCACTGGCTGAGCGAGGCGCGGGAGCGAAACCGAAGGTTGCGATCCTGTTATCATCTTAAAAGAGCTTTTTATGGCAGTATTTATAATTAAATTGTAGATTTTCAAAAATAACTTCAAACTGTATTCTTTCATTTTTATTTAATCTACTTTTGTTGTTTGTTTATTTGGTTGGGTAGAAAAAGGACTGATCCTTCCAGGAATAAAGTTGGAAGATCAAAATTTGATTACTGAAAGAAATTTCACTATTTTCAATCTGGGAAGACAGGAATAGAGTTGAAATAAAATTTTCCTTTATATAAATGAGAAACATAACTAAAAACTAGGCAAAAAAGTTTTTAAAAACTTTCATCGAAAGATAGGGACTTCAAAAGAATTATGCATGGAAAATTTATAGTAGCAAGTTTTAGAAAACCATATCCATGTACTTAGTTTCTTCCCAAGAATCAAAAGTGCTTTGTAATTACTAAATAAAGCTCATAGTTATGTTGATACAGAAGCTTTTATTCAGAAAACAAGAGAGCAGTAGAAAAATGTTAGTGAAATTAAATTAGGTTATAGGAAGAACATACATGCACTATAATTACTATCATTAAATATTATATTGCTTTTTGGTGCCTTAAAAATTCTATATATTCTGTATTAAGGACATGTAAACTTTACATTTACAATGTTAAAAGAAGGTTAAAAGAGGAGACTGAGTATGTGTACTATTTTATAAGAAGAATGTATAAAATGATAGCAAAATATTATTATTTAAAGATTTTAGTATAGCTTCTCATGAAAAACACTGTTGACTGTTTTAGGTCACTTCACTTCAGTCCCTAAAAGAAAATGAGAGCAACTTGTTAAAGGTAAATCTCTCCTCTAATTTTGCTGAGTGTTATTAGTTCCCCAATAAAACATGACTTCTTTTTAATGAAGTCTAAGCAATGACAAGAACTACAAGTATTCACTTTAATTACAATGGCTACAGGAAAAATCAACTTCAAACAAACTACACTGGCTGGTTGTTGACTTGCCACTGATCAACCCTCTCCTTTCAGAAAAAGCAAGGGAGGATTTTACCATAGTTTTGTTTAAATATAAATTGATGCCACATGTCAGTCATTTTTACTTCTAGCACTAACATCATCCAAACAAATCTAAAGTAAACAACTTTATAGGAATATTATACGTATCATTTTAATTAAATGTTGTTTTTATCACCTTGTGTTAATATAGCACCTTGCTCCAAATTTTTTTAATCAGGACATTCTCTATAGTATATGTGCTACACAGCTTTATGCACAAAAATCATTAGAAGTACCCTGCACCACTGTAGAGACTGAGTGCTTCAGATTCATTGTACCTTTGTATTAAAAATTAATAATAATAATATGTAGATTAATTCTAATTATTTCTGGCTTTATTACAATAAAATTTAATAGAATCTAAAAACATTAAAATATGTTGCCTGGAAAAGATATGTTTTCATAAACAACTTCATATGTTTGAAAACTACAGAATAGCAGTAAATAAACTTTAACACTTAATTTTAAATTTCCACTAGACTAATCAATATGGCAAACTACTCTTCAATAAGACTCTCAATGTGATACATAAACATGGATTCCTTGCAAAGACCTTGGTACTATATTAACAATTAAAGTGCTCCTAGCTGCCCTATAGGCCTTACCTAAAGAAAGAGATGATGTGTCATAGTCTATGCATAGAAACAGGCACATACAACAACTACTGCTACAATAAACGTCTCCAATACAACTGCTTAGCTTGATCCAACAACCTGCTCAGTTCAAACAGCAGTCTATAAAACGATATTCTAAGTTAAATTTTTAAAAATGTATGCAGTTCATTGAAGTTAATTATAAAATAATATGATCTATTCAAATTATTTATTCACAATTATCTTAATGAACATGTACTTCAGAACCAGACTTGTAATTTTCCACTGTGGTAGTCCAATTTTACTGTATGGAGCACAATAAATATGCATATGATTTTAAGTGACAGGACAAGTGAACTGCTTTAATTCAAACATTTTACTGAGCAACTTGGTCAAGAGTAATTAGGGTAAGATCTTATAAGTGAATAATGAAAATGACATTAAAACAAAACTTTTTAAATCACATTGGATCACTTTTACCTTCAACCTAGGTTGGGACTGTGTAAAACAATATATACTTGTAGAGTGGAAATTGAAATTTCATCAGCAATATCTCAACTTAAATATTTATTGGACTTTCATTTTTTTAATACTAAATTAATTTGGTTATGGTTCACTATGAAATATTAGATAAATCTTTTTCAATTTATGAGCTATTTATTTGAAATCATCTTTTTCAATTTATGAACATTTGAAAACTCCTAAGGAAAATCCCTCACACACAATTGTAAATGACACAGAGAGAGAAAACAGGTCTTTAAACTCTCATTCCCAAACTCTAATTGGATGAATGATTAGGGGGAACTCCTCTTGTTTGTGGTGGTGCCCTCTAACGACTAGATGGACTTTACTTTAATAACCATTCCATGTTCAATTTGTTTTAGCATTTACACCGCTGATGGTAGGAAGCAATCTTCTTTAATGGATGCTGAAAAGCTTCAAGTGAAATCTGTAATTGACAAAGGCTTCATAGAAACAGGCAATTAAGAATAAAATTAACAAGAGACTCTACAGGAAAAGCACTCAAGCTTTCACAGAATACTTCTCTAGGAAAACTTTTAGTAAAAATAAAACTCTAAATGAACTAGGTGTGGTTTTTTCCACTTTATTAACTGATCTCTGAATCTGTATGTTTGTGTTAAAAAAAAAAAAAAAAATAATCTGAAAATGAGACAAAATGGAGAGTTGAGGAAATGAGGCAAGAGAGACCAGACTGGCAAGTTTATGGCAAAAAGGAAAGTGGAAATTTCAAGGGTTAAGATCCCCTTACAAGTCATCAAAAAAAAAAAAAAAAAAAAAACAGAGTTATTGGTTCTAGAGGAATAATCCGCCTGCTGATATTATTAGGAGAAAAAGAATAAAAACAAGCCAAAAGCGAAATTGAGGCAAGTTCAACACCTATTTCTTACAACTAAAACCGTTCAGTTCATTTTCAGTACCTCAAGTTGCATGGAGCAGTGTGTTTGTTGACAACAGATCAAAAGCGCTCAGAAGAGCCAAGCAGCAAGGATAGGAAGGAGAGCAGGGCACTAATTTCCCTCAGGGCTCCAGGAGCCAACACCGCTCCTTAAGTGTTACTAGTCCAGGAAGTGATACAAGCACATCCGAAAGGATGAATACAAATAAGAGCAGTAGAGTAAGTGAGGAAAGAACAGAACTGTCACTGTCCCTCTGACCAATCTCCCAGCCCCTTTTCTCTCCCCTCCCCAGCCCCCCGGAAGTTTACCTGGCGATAACAAAGACACGGGGGGGAGGGGGCTGTGGTGGTTCTCAGGTGAGTTAATTCCCGGCTCGGGGAAGCGGCAGGTAGCAGGGCAGCACTTACTTTGAGCAGCTTGCAGCGGATCTGCGCGGAGACCATGTGGCTGTTGCGCAGGTTGCCCACCCGGAACATGAGCGTGAGTTTTCCGTCCCTCATGGAGATCACCGCGTGCTCGCTAAACATGAGGGTCTCAGCGCGCTTCTTGGGCTGGGACATCTTGATGAACATACAGCCTATGAGGAAGGCGTCCACGATGGAGCCGAGGATGGACTGAAAGAGGAAGAGGATGATGCCCTCGGGGCACTTGTCGGTGATGTATCGGTAGCCATAGCCGATGGTGGCCTCGGTCTCGATGAAGAAGAGGAAGGCTGACGGGAAGTTATAGACATTGGCCACGCAGGGTGTGTAGTTGCCGACGTGGGCTTTGTTCAGGTCGCCCCGGGAGTAGGCGATCACCCACCACATGGACGCCATGAAGAGCCAGGCCACGGTGTAGGTGAGGATGAAGATGAAGAGGTTCCAGCGCCACTTGAGGTCCACCAGCGTGGTGAAGAGGTCCGAGAGGTAGCGGCTCGTCTCGCTGCCCAGGTTGCCGTGCTGTACATTGCACCGGCCGTTCTTGTCCACGAACCGCTGCCGCTTCTTCTTGGGCACAAGCTGCTGCTGCGGGCCCTGGCCCGGCCCCTGGGGCTGCAAGCCCGAGCTGCTGGACGAGGTGGTCACTACCTGGTAATCGTCCCCAAATTTCCTTCGGAGTGCAGACATAATACGGAGGGGCGAGCCAGATTCAAACGCGAAGCCAAGGCGCAGGAGCCGAGCACTGCAAACCAGCACCAATAAGGAGGTGGGGGTGGGGGAAAGGGGGGAGAAGCGGGAGCTCCTGGGGTGGGGGGGCTCAGCCGGCAGGTAACTGCGGTCTCTGCCCCCTGCAAACGGCTCTCCTTCTCCCGTGGGACAGAGGCTTTCGTTCCAAGGTGAGTCTTCCAACCAAAGTGTTCTCCCGCACTCAAGGCAGGAGGGATGCAAGGACCAGAAACCCAAGAGCAATTTTGCTTCCAAGCTTTTCGAGACTCCTCTTTTCTTCCCCCACCACCGGCATCCCGGGCCACCTCTTACCTTGCCACTGTTCTCCTGACTATCCTGAAGCACCCTCGAACTGACTGCTTAAAATTAACGAGTTGACAGGCCAGTCCACCCCACCTGCCAACTCGCTGGACTGCCGGAGCTGCCGCTACCTGCTTGGACCAGACCC